TTACTACATCCAGTTATGAAACGAGAACGTAAAATAGCCATGAATTCAGGAGGCCCCAAAGGATGCCATTCCTGAGAAATCGGTTTATGGTACACTAGTGTATTGTGACGGTCGTAAAACGTTGATTGGTGAGGACGGAGTATGCCGAGGAACGACAAATGAAATTTTCTTGCCGGTTATCATCACAGGAAACATCAAAAAAAGAATTCTACAAAAATCCCGCCAACACGAAGATAGGATGAAATTGTTACCGGAAAGGTTTCATTATTCATTCCCTAATTCTTCAGTTTTAACTGTGCTTTAAATAAATTCAGGCAATTATAAAACTTTTCTACAATTATCAACAGAACTGTAGCAATTTCCTAGCTGCAACGCATAAATAAACGATAAACGCTTTTCGAAGCGCTCTCCAAATTCAACCACAGCATATTTAAAACGAATCCGCTTTTTCTGGCTGCCGTGCACTCACATGTTGACCCTGTTTGTCACATTCAGTTGGCGAGAATATCGAATCGCTCCATATTTTATTGTGCAAATGGAAAAACAAATTCTTTCGTTCCAAAAGACGCCGCCGTTTAAACAAGATGAAGTTGTAGAACGTGGCGTTCGTGCAAGAATACGAGTTTTATTGGATACGTTTATTTTTCGAAAACTTGTTGAATTGTTCGTTTTTGAATTACACTATTCGTGTCTCTTCCGAACCATATTGGTGTAGGGTATAAATTAAATAAACTTCCATGAGTTGTATATTCTACGTAGTTGGAAATTTCATAACTTCTAATAAAGTCGCTAATGAAAAACAGTTTTTAAAGCTACGAATTAATAGATAGGATAACTACATTAACCTGCGCAATTAACCTTTTTCTCCTTTTACATTTTCCTCTTCGCTGTGGTTTTTTTCTATTTGTTGCTAATTACTAAATTGTTATGAAACCAGACTGCGCGACTCGAGGATATTCCGTAATTCCATCAACTTTTTAATAAAAGCGGAATTTCTTTAGGTTTCGTCGCAGAAAAACTATTCATTTTTCCGTCTGGATATAACTTCGTTAAATCTTCCTCGGCTATGATGGTGCCGGCGTATTTTTCCTGTAATTCTGCAAATTACTGAATTAGAAAATTGCCGCAGCTGACGCCGCGTAATTTTCCGCTCGGGCTTGTACACAACTGTAAATAGAAATACTATCGCCCGGATTTATTCGGGAATGGCGTTACTTTGATACATGGCGGGCCCTTAAAATTTTCAGCAAATAATTTACTATTCTTAAAACATAAAAATGAAGAGTATGGCTTCATTAGTATTCAATAATTATGGCAATACAAAATGAAGCATTTCATAACCATAATGAAAAAACTGTAATGAATTTAATGTTGTAATAAAATGTTCCGTACAACTACTAGTATTTTTAAAAATTAAGTATTGTTTGTAGATTTAATTGTTAATTATTTTTAAATCTTCCATCCTCCAGCTCTAGACGTAAGAAGCGGTGTTGTGTTGGAAACAGAAACCGGGGAGTGTTTTTTTATTAATAAAAACGCGCTCGGTCGACGCGGCGCGAAGAAAACGATTTATCACGAAAATAATTCTCTTAACGCCGTTATAACGAGCGCTTGGACAAAAAGAATCCGCAAAAATGCTCATCATATCACATAATGGAGCGTAAAAAGAAAACGGGATATCGGGAGGCGCAAAACAAAACGAAATTTGTTTTCTGTATTTCTCTGTTGGTTGGTATACATTTTCTTAAAAAGTTCCTATGCTGGACTTTCTTGATCTTGATGCTTGAAAAGTGAAAATATTGTTTAACTTTATCGGCCAATATTTAGGTACAAATTTCTTAATAGGATCCCAAAATCCTGTCAACTTTTTTTTTGAAAAACACAATAAAACAATATACCTACATAATGTATTATAAACTAACCAAATTAGCAGTTCACTATCTAGCGCATAATTTTTTTTACGAATTTTTAAAAGTATAACAACAATGACCACTGTGTTAAAATAAACAAACAATTTAATTCTTCTGTTTTCCGTTTAATAAATTATTAAAAAGCAGCATTTGGCGAAATATCCCACAGAAGGTAGCACTAATTCTCTAAAATTCTCTTTAAAATGTATCTGTATCCCCGGCACTTCCTTTAATTATTAAAAAAGAATAAATTCAGGGGATTTCTTTCTAAGAAATGTAATAGAGAAAAGCTTTTATTTATGGGGAAAAGAAAAAAAGGAAATTAAGCGGGCGCTTGGGACGGATAAACAGACGAATTTGGAGTGTTTTTGTATACGGATGAAGCAATTTTCATTATAAGAATTAAAAGTGTCGCTTTAGTAAATCCTGCAAATATAATATATAAATTTGAATTGAACTTATCATAAATCAGCAAATGTGGATTATTGATGCATAAAAAACTATACTTTACATCAGGCAGAAAAATATTTACGGACATAGTTGCCCCAAAACGAAGCATCTGGAGAAATCCAGTATCGTTATATATCGTTTTTCCCGCAAGAGATAGTTAAAAAAAGGCATTAATGTCGTCGAAATGTTACCCGCTATATATATTCTTTTTTCAACTTCATACATTCCCTTAATGATAGAAGCCATTATATCCATACGCGCTCTTGGCAGAAATGAAAAAACCTTTCATCGCCAAGTATTAGCAGTTTCAGTCACATTGGGTTTACATCATTCCGGAATACAAAACTCCAAATATTTTATGTATGACTCAGGAGGATACTTGCCTTTTTCCTTATAGCTCTGCTGCAGTGCTTCAGATTATATTAGGTAAGTCGTATACTTATAGAGTTAATTTATTAATTATTAAAAAAATATGTAACTAAAATTTTGTTATCTATCAATTTACTGGATCATTTTAAAGCCAGATAAATTGTAGATAGTAAGAAGAGTCAACTTAATTAATTTGCACGAACGTTGTGAATCGTTTTGTTTAGCAAACCTTGATTAGCGTGAAAACGTATTTTCGCACAATTCGCATTCAATGTTTGCCCATAGCCCGTATTCATTCGTTTAACCTATACCTATAAACACACATCACGGATTGTCGTAAATAACGGGATAGACATTGGCAAGCCGTCAAACGTTGTTATAGGCCATCTACGCTCTTGTAATGTCGTTCCAACAGCGATAATCTATCACCCAAGAGACTAGCACCATTATTGTTCGATTAACAATCGGAGAATTGATTTCAAATGATGGCTTTATTAATAATTTCTGGTTATTATTGGTCGATTGAGACCATAAAAATCATGGTATTGGCTTCAATAAATGTCAGGGAACAAATTTATTGGAATATAGGATATGAAATAAAATCTAAACAATCTGTTAAAATCAATTAACATACTAAAAGGAGTAATTCTATTAATTATTGAGTATGTAATTCTAATAATTTTAGAGATTTTAGAGTATTTGGTTTTTATACGAAATTTTTAAATTGAAAATGAAATATGTATGTATTTTTTGTTCTTCCATTATTATATTTTTCATATCTTTTTCTGCTATGAGTTGAACAAAGACAGATTATTAAAATTACAATGGTTAGAGTAAGAAAGTTGCAATATCACTCTTTCTTTTTCTTTTACATGAGACTTATGAAAGTTGTCTTTGTTGCACCATTTTGGTGGCACCCATTTTGCGTACTTATTTGCACTTACATAGATATGCATGAATGTATGTGGGTAAGTGCAAATATGTTTGCAAACTGATCAATTCTGCGAGCTGAACAAGGAAATATAAAAATAACAGTGATTTCAGTGAGAAAGTTCCATTCCCACAATATCACTCTCTTTTTCCTTCATATGATACTAATGGAAGTTGTATTTGTTGCACCTATAGCCCAAATTGCGTACGTAAAATTGCAAACTTGTGGCACTAAATTCTGGGGGTGATAGCTTGCATAATTTGAGACCGAGATTTCATTTTTCTAAAAAAATTATAATAAACAAAATTTGAAATATTAAAAATATTTCAAAGAAATGCGGTCATGGGACATCGGTTGAAACCCCTCGACCGCGTTATAAATCGCGTTCACCATAGGTTAGAATCGACAAAATAATGATTTTTAAATCTTTTTCGAATTTTGTTTATTACTTATTTATTCCATATATGGTCTCTAAATTTTTAGAATCCACAAATTTTTAGAAAGTATACCAGGATTTTCAAACAATAGAAGGAAATAAACTCACTCGAAAGAAATATTAGCTCACCTATTTTGTTGTTGAAGAATAGTGAAGTTCATAGTGATTGTTTATTAATAATTCCGTTGAACGCGTGTGGCATTGCCAATATTCCAATTAATTGTTCCAGAACATCACTAACATAAGAACTAAACCGAGAAGAACACTAAGAACTAAAACAATCAAATAAATCACTAAATAAAGTCTAGTCACAAAAATCTATTTAACCCCGATGTTGTAAACAAAACAATACAATTCGCACTAGAAAACAATCGGTATCTCGATAGTTTTTCGAAAACTGGAAGGCGGTGGGGAAATTTGCGCTCGCTGATAAATACACCGAATCTGTTTTTTGTGTTAAAATTCCGATAAGCTGACTATTGAGGGCAGGGTTGTATTCGCTCTTTGCATTTATTTCTATTTGCTATTTTGTTTATTATAATTAGTTACCTAACAGTTTTAATAAAAAATATATGTAGGTGCAACAAAGATAACTTCGTCTTCGTTGTTTAAATTAGTCTCATGCAAAGAAAAAAAAGTAAATAATACTGTGGGATTGCAACTTACTCTAAAATAACCAATGTTATTTTAATAATCTTTTATTGTTCAACTCATAGATCATATTGCAAACAAATTTGGTACCCATACGCAGGTAATTTCAATTTCATAATTTGGTCTCCTATTGCATACCTATGTATGGAGTTGCCTAAGGAGCAGCGAATCGGATATATTCGGTATATTCCGTAGCTCCAACATGTGCAAACTGTAGAGTCAACTAGCTCCGGATTCTTTGACATTTCCCAACATAACCTCACAAATCACAATGTGATAACGAATAAAAGTAAACAGAATGTGTTACCAGTTTAATATTTGTATCAAAATTATTGTTTAACAAGTATTATTGTTATTCATTATTTATAATTATTCGCTTTCAATGGGTAAGTTTTATTTATACCAATTTTGAATTTTGTCCTAATAAACTTATTATTACCACTTATTATTTGTTCTAGGTTTTAAAGAAACACCCCAGATATTTATCACAGGCACAAGTAATTCGGTCATCGTCACCTCAAAGAAATCGAGCACTACTCGAGATAATGATAAAAACATCGATTTGCCCGACTTATTCTCCAGAATTACCCAAATAGATGACACGAATAATTCACTATTAAAAATAAGCGTGCTAGAATTACCGCACTGCCAATTAACAGAGTTACCTACAGCATTAGAAAACTTGCAACTAAAACACTTAGATATTTCTTACAACAACTTCGAGAACGTTCCAACATGCATTTACAGCGGATTAAAGCAATTAGAACATTTAAACCTAGGTCATAACTTAATTGAAAAGTTCGATATCCTACCCGGCTGTGTTTCTTGCATCAAAACAATCAAACTGAACCACAATTTGTTTAAAAATTTGCCTAAATGGATAGTGGCCTTTCGTTGTACAGAACTCACGGAATTAAATTTCAGCTACAACCAATCGACTAATTATGAATACACAAAAAATAGTTATAGCATACATATCATGAGGTTGAAGAAGCTCAAGTTAAGAAATAGCCAACTTTTAGATATAGATTACGATTTTTTGAAAACCTTCAAGCATTTACAGTATCTAGATCTAAGTAACAAATACAGCAGTGATAGGCTTATAAATAAATTTCATGAAATTGATGATTTGTTTTTGAAATTGCAATGGAAGCGACTTGAAGTGTTAAAATTGTGTAATCTCACGCTGACTTTGTTTCCCGAAGGCATCTCTTGGGTAGAAACTCTTAAGGAATTGTATATAAATCAAAATTGTCTGTCCTGGATACCTAAGGGTATTGAATTTATGGTCAATCTTCGAGTACTAGACGTTTCTGATAACAATCTAATTGCAATTCCAGAAGAAGTAGCCAAATTAGAATCACTAGAAGTAATATTGGCTAATAAAAATGGTATAGAAATCTGTCCTGATTTCACTAAAATGCCTTCATTAAGAACACTGGATTTATACGACAACATGCTCGAAGAAGTATCAATTTCATGCGAAAAATTGCAGTATGCAGATCTCGAGTACAATTACATAGCAACCAGTAAGCTTGATAATTACGAATTCAAAAAATTAAAATATAGAGAAAGTAAATCCCTTTGTTACGACAGAGTCGATACCACAAAAGAAAAAACTGAACATTCTGAGTCCAGCTCCAGTAGTTCAGAAGATAGTGATTGTTCTTACAATGTTGAAACGCGAGATATCAACGCAGAAGATTGTGAAGAAAATTGGGAAGATTGGGACAAACCGTCGAATTATAGAGAAAGAAACCCTGAAATTGATAGCCAAGATGAATCATGGACAGGAGAAGATGATAAGAAATTAAGGAAAAAAGAAATATCACCAACGAAAATTTATGTACAAGACGAGGATTGGATGTTTGAAGATGTAGAAGAAATAAATAATGCATAGCATTCTATTCTGGACATAATTTTAGAGTTTACAATGCTTTCGTTATTTTGTAAAAATAGGAAACATTTTCATTTTGTTATTAAATAACATTTTCTAATGAACCCACCTGGATTTTATTTCCTACCTACATATTGCATCTAAATCGATATTTCTAGTTCGACCAACATTATTTGTTCCAGAAGGTCTGCCGTTGTCGTTTTAATTTATAGAGAATAAAACTTGATCCATCCGCGTACTTTTTCTTTGTGGTTTTTTACCGAATTGACTTTTAAAAGAAATCGGCAAGACAATGCAGACATTTCGGAAACAGTTGACTTTAACTCGTAACAAATTTAGACAGTTAAAAACAATAAAACAACAAACACAAAACGAGAGCTTCCGATGTAAGGGATAGCTCGAGTTCCAGAGGTTGAAAATTTTGTTCCAAGTGGACGAAAATTAAAGTGAAAGTTTCTCAACATGTACATAACATTAATATATCTATCATTAATATTAAGATTTTTTACGTGCAATGTTTTTGAATCTGGGTAAAGATATAGTGGATCAGAAACCACAGGTCGAAAATCAATATCGTAGAGTTAATATAAAACATTGCAATTGTGTATAGACAAATATTTTTATATTTAATGTTTTATAAAAAGAGCCAGGGTATTAATTGGAATAGTGATGTGATTAATGACAAATTAATATTTCTGGAATGAGCCCTTTGTAGCCTGAATTGGTTCCACTGTGTTATGGTAGGAAGTTGGTAAAGGAAACGATGAGAGGTTGATGAGTTGTGTCAAAGTGACCTGTTTACTTTGTAGCTGGGATAATTGTATTTCGTACTCCGAACGTAAAACTCTTTGATAGGAAAGTGACTCGTAATTGGTTCTTTGTTGAGACTATATAACCCGCCGTAAACTTAGGTCGCGAGCGCGCAAAAGAAATTTCCTATTTATTGTTTCACGTTAGATGCTAATATAAAACGAAAACATTTGCATACGGACGCGCTGGCGCGGAGGAAATTTCCCGAAAGGAAACGCTTCTCATTTTTGGGAAATTTGCCTTATATAGTGTAGGAAATTATTTTTTAAAACGGTTAGTAATGCATTAAAATTTTATGGGCATAAAATTGTTATTAGGCATTACTTTGCTATTTTTTGATAGTAATGTAGTTTTACATGAAAGGTTTTGGAAAGATTGAAATTTTTTCATAGTCTTCCTGAAAATTTGGAGAACTAGCCGACTTTTTTTTCTGTAGTAAGAAGATAAAATAAGTGCATAATTTTTATGCAGGTTTTTAAAATTTTAGCTTAGAATTTACATACTAAAAGTGGTAATTTACATACTGTATATTTTTTTATGGACAAAATATGCAAAATTAAAGCTGGTAAATTTGCTTTATCTAATTTCAATACATTATTAAGTAAGTTTCAATACATTTTCATAGGGCTATAAAATATGAAATAACTTACTAAAAAAACGTAGAGACAATTGTAATAATATTTCTATTGTACAATAATTATAATTGGAAAATTATAATTTTATCAACCTTTAAAAATATTTAAAAATCAGGATTACACCGACACCTAACGGCCAAAAGCGCAGTTAAGCAGAGATCAAAACAGGGATCGATAACTCGACTGAAGAAATCCTTGAAATCTCCTTTTAAAACCAACTTTCGTGCTACTAATCCGTTTAAGTTCAACATAATTTCTACAGATGGCACTAACTATTTCAATTTAACCATTTTTCAAAAAAATAGAAAAGAAAATACAAAAATTGAAAAACCTCCACTAATTTGTATTCGCTTCAGGAAACTACATGAAGAAGCAAAATTAAATTAAAAAATTTTTATAACGACCGAGACAGGACTCGAACCTGCAATCTTCGGATTCGAAGTCCGACGCCTTATCCATTAGGCCACACGGTCTTGGAATCCTTTTTCCAGATTCCAGTATTTCCTGCAAAGGATAAAGTTTCCAGATAACTGGATATATTTTATTTATTTTACAAAACATAAACTAAATATTACAATTATAAATTTGATACTAATTTTTTAGATGGGTGCACATAAAGTAGGCACTATCTGGATTTGGTCATAAAAATTAATAGACTAAGAGCCCTTTCACACTATGCAATATATTGTAGCAATCAATCAATATATTGCAGCAATATTGCATTGCAGTTTTGATACAAGCGTTAGATAATAAAAATTATTGTATCGCATACGAAAACTACGAATTTAAACGAATTTGAATAAGCTTTTAGCGAGTAGACATAAATATTATTGACAATTACTAAACTAATAAAACCACATAAAAAATTCAATATTAAAATAATCCTAATTAATCCAAATTTCCCTTTTCCACGTCCCTTAATATAACGCGGGCAGGTTATTGCAAATACCATTTTTTATTAAAAATATCGTGTTGGGGTTGATAAGCTTCAGAAAGAAGGACACAAAGCGATTACGCGATTGTCTGTTGGGGTGTGTTCACTGTGGCGAATTTCACACCGGTTTCACCCGCTAATGACCAATTTAGAGAATGGATAGGTGTACTGTGAATGCTTCCATTCATTATTCAGAATCGCATTGTCGCATATTCTGGATAATACCTTAGTTAACGTATTTGGTCTTGTTATGAGAGGCAGGTATATCTTTTATACGCACAAAATCGGTTATATGAGTAAATGAACATGCGGTTTGTTTTCCAAGATTTACCTAATTGTTAGTATACCTGCAAATAAAAAATTATAGTATAAAAGAAATAAATAAAAAAATAAAAATAAAAAATGGCTATTTTTGTGTATTATTATACGAGGGATTATTTTTACAATTTGGCGCACACAATAGGTGAACTAGTAAAACCCTTCAATTAAAAAAAAATCGATTCTTTTTTCAACAGCTGCTGGCTGCATGCGAGAGGCGACGTCGGAAAATCATTAATTGATTGCCGAAGTAAATAACAACCGAAAGATTTCACTTATAAAGTTTCAATTACAGACTGAATTGGAAACCTTTCAGGTAATCGCGACAAGTTTTCAGATCAAACGGCGCAGATTAAACGTAGCCGTAATTTTCTAAAGAAACCGATCCGTTTTGTAATTAGTAAAGCCCTTGTGAGGAACGATTTCCCGCCGTACGGGAGGGAATGATGTAATTTGGTGAAAAAGAAATTAAAGAAAAAAGTTAGGGAAACTCTTTTCTTTTCCGGGCTATTGGGATGATTAAGAGCGTTGTGACAATCGAAAACTATGTTTCGATGATTAATTGTTATTTCCTTTTATAAAATTCGAATGAATTGGACATCGATGCGGCTAAAAAAATGTTATTTAACTCAATTGAAACTTATTTGATTCACCGTATATGCGCATTACATAATTGTCGCATTGAATTTCGTCTACTATATGCACAATCCTGAACAAATTCAATTCGGAACAAAAGCATTTTTACCGAGTGACAATAGATGATGGACAATACGTTATTGTCAATTACACAAAGAGATTTAAATCAGTGTTTACATAGCGTTAAACGCATCAGCCACTATCCCTTTAATCAATTTGTACGGGCTGAGGTCTCTCCAGTTGATGTGTTTCCATCGTGATAACGATAACGATGCCTCAAAGTGAGCACGTCAAACGGCCGATGAACGCCTTCATGGTATGGTCCAGGATGCGCAGGAAAAGGATATCCCAGGTTAGTTCTAATTTAGACACATATTATTGCAACCACGACGATTGTTGTCCTGTTTATAGGACAATCCTAGGCTTCATAATTCGGAAATATCGAAGCTTCTGGGTGTGGAATGGAAGCTTCTTTCGGAAACAGAGAAGAGGCCTTTTATAGACGAAGCGAAAAGATTGCGGGTACAACATTTGCTTGATCATCCCGATTACAAGTACAAACCTAAGAGAAAACCCAAAGAAATCGTTAAAAGTTTTTCCCGAAATTTCGCTGAACAGAATGTCCTAAACAGAAATATTTACGGCCAAAACGGTAGGCTTTTACCTAAAACCAGTATAAATATAGTTCACATAAATTTATTTTTTTAGAAAATTTCACAATCTGCTACAATTCACCGGCTGAATCAAAATTAAACCTGTCTCATCAGCCTTACTCGCTAAACATGAGTCTTCCGACGCCAGAAAGACTGACATTAACCTACACAGACCCGGTGAAATCTGAGCAACGTTTATTGCAAGACGAGTACTCTTCACAACTGGATGTTAATAAACATCATCAATTCGATTTCACGACGGCTTTGCCTCCTCTACCGCCTTACACTTCATTGCAGGGTAGTCTCCACCACAATTCCCTAATAAGGGCTTCGCTTTATGCCTACCACGATTTGGCTTCCGGCAGTAATTTACCTTTATATTTTCCGCATATTTAGTTTTACTAATGTTCTTTTTAAATGTAGATATCTATAATAATTAAGTATTTAAAGTGGCACAAACCATTCTGAATTGTAAGATTTTCATGAACTTGGATCTATATTTTTTGTACATATACGTATCTATTTGTATAAAATTTAGTATAAATTAGTACATATTGGGTCATAAAACATTTATTGAAATGTAATCTTTATTGTATCCATTGTGCGTAAATAAAAATATAAATAATAATAATTTAGTGTTAGTTTTAACAATTCAGTTGACAATGTCTCACATGTATCCTGTTAATGTTTTCCGGTGATTTCATATATGAATACGGATTTAATAGAGATTATTACGATTATAATTACATTAAAAAAATTATTATAAATTCATCAACGCAAATAAAGTATTTTAGCCGTGTAAAATAGTTCAGCTAATGTCGCTTCTTTATTATCCAATTATTGCGTTATACTCGGTGAAATTGTAAATTAAATGTAGATTTGATAAATAAATAGTAGGTCGCGAATTTAAAAGAATTAATAACAAAAAATATTTTGAAATTTAATCTAGATATTATTAATTATTACAGGTGGCAGTGTTTTTTTAATTTAGAAAATTATTATTTTATTCACTTTGTTATTTATGTGAATTTATGTGAATCTAGAAACTTACCTATACTATTAATTAAACTAATCTATTCCCCAACAAATTTGCCTGCAGTCGCAAAAGCGATATGCAAATCCTGCAAGCGTTTATTTACATTGTCGTTGAGACAGGAGTATAAAATTTACATAGATCCGACAAACCTTTCCAATTTATCCTTTTTACGGGGCTCTTCTGTCGTTATCGTGCATTATCCTGATTAAGTCTCTAAAGGATTCAAACCTGCGGCGCCTTTGTAATGACAACTTATTCACCCGATGCTGTTCGTTTTAATCAGGGCAAAATGTGGCAAAACTGATCTTTGGAATCCCACAATATTCGTCGTTTGCACTGTTTTTGGATGTTCATTTATTAATGAATTTTATACTAATTAGAACGTTTATAATGGAAGATTATTTAATAGAAACTGATATTTCAAATGAAACAGGTAAAGTAAATATTTTATGCTGTCCAATGGATTGAGGTTTAATTAGGATTGAATAAATTTATCCGAAAATTGGTACATGCTCACAATATATTAGGAGCGGTAAATTCATTAGAGAGGGCGTACATTATGATCGCATTGAGTGAAAATCCATACGGAGATCTAATACTTAGAACCACAAATACCAACGGAGCATTTCATTTGCATGATAAATTCTCTACAAACTCCAAATGATAATACGATTTTAGCGATGAAAGGTGAAAATAAATTGATTTCGCGTTCCCGGTGACATATTAATGCACATATTAAGATTTGTGACGTGACGAAACGTCGAGTCAGCTCGGTACTGCTGGAGCCCGGAGCATTTTTCCGGGGCGATTTCTTAGGGCGAATGCTCGGTTTATAATGGATGAATCGGTGTATGGAGCATACACATACACACCTCGAAATTACGTCATGACATTAATAGGCAGGATCATACATTTAAGACGCTTGTAGGCAAGCGTTCCGTAGAATGGGCTTGTGCAAATTGAATTGGGCTCTATACGCTCGCTTCCTTTTGCTTACAACACGCTATACGCGTATAGGAACTCGGGAAAATTGATATGAATAATTATGACGCGAATGGATTTCAGATAAATAACTTTCCATTTGGAAAAACCGCGCCTCTTAACAATTTTGTGTGGCCTCCAGATGGATATAGTTTTTAAATGTTTAGTAGGAAATTGCTTTATGGAAATGTAGAAGGGCTTAAAAGGAAATTGAAAAAAGTACTCGATACACTTCGTTGCTTTTATGCAAGAATAATTTTCTATTAAAAAGTGAAGAGACAAAAATATAGTCGGTGAATGCGCGAGCTGCATTCTTTGCAGAAAATAGCAGCCACAGTTCTTTCTTAGAATGAATCTCCAGAGAACGCGCTCGCTACCAACAATGCACCTTTTTCTATTTGAAAAAGCTCGTTGTTGTATGACTTTTACGTTTCTTCCTATAGCTTTAAAGAACAAAGCTCATTCTGGAAGCTTTTACGTTATTCAGTTCCGATACTGACGACAATAATGGACGTTTTATATTATGGTCGTATTGAAATCTTTTGTTCGCTTCTATTTTCAGTGGAACTTCTCATTTTCAAATGGTTTCAGTCCTTTTTCTTTTTTCCGCAATTTTCTTTCGCGCATTATTTCGCACATGCGGGGTGGGTATTCGGCTATTAAATTTCGATCTCTCCTCCACATAACTAAAAAATGTGTATACCAATAAAACACACATTGTTATAAAAGAATCCACTTTAAAAATGAAGTAAAGAATATTTGTAAACATAAAAAATAGATTAAGTTTAGGAGATTTAAAGGATTACAATGCTACGAAGATATAGAGGGTGGTATTCAATGCAATAATTGCCATACAAATTAATTTTAAAGCGGATATAAATCAAATTAGTTTACTTTTCGATAAAAAAAATCGTTTTCTTGCTTTGCCTGCTACATCAGAGCGTATACGAATCGAAGAACTCGAAAGCTAATCATCGACGAAGAACCATGTCAAAATTATACAATGTCCCATGAATGACGTTTAATTTCACCTATCGAAGAGAAGAGATGCCCTCTTGATTAAAATCCGGATCTACAGCCAACAATAGAAGCATCCCTTTGCCCCCGTATCGGTATCTCCTCCTCGCATAAGTCCGCCTAATCAAGTATGTTCTTTGTCAATATACAGTGTATTTGTGATTGATTGAAACGAAAATTGCTTGCTTGAGTTCGCTTAAATTGGATTTATTTTGAAAATTTTCCATTGAAAAACTCCTACGATATATTTTATCAATAAATTATTCTTATCAATTTTATTATTAAAGAAGTAACGCCAAAACAGCGACAAATATTTTAATTCGGGAAACTTTTCATTTCAATGGCATTTCGTTTAAAAGCGATTGTTTATCATCCACAATAAAATTGATTGACGTTTCTGGTTTGAAAGGTTCCTTTTTCATTTTTGTTTCGTCGTTCTGCAAGAATGTAATTTAACGGTTCCATCAAAACGCTACTGCATATACACGCTTGTGCAACATTTTTGTTTTCTTTGTAGTTAACTCGAATTAAATTGGAAATTCTCCAACATTCAGTTGCCTTTCAATGAGAGAGGCTCGACTTTCATGTCAGTACATAATAAATTCAATTAAATCCAATATAATCCGAATTTTAGATACTGACAGTTCAATATATCAAGTCAGGAAATGGCTATTATTTACTGAATGAAAACGGAATTTTGGTTTTCTCCTAGGCTAAACGAATTATTTCGAAAATGATTGTTTCCGCGTCGCGCCGGAGCATTCAGAAATATTTGCAGTTTATATCCGTACTTGAATTACATTGTTGTCACAAAACAATTATTGTCGTAATTAAAAAATAAATATAATAAATATACCTATTTAAATGCATCCATGCATATTAATTTTTTTTTATTAAAACCCACGAAGCCCTAACAGAAAAAAATTAAGCCTGCATTTGACTCCTTCAATAATCAAGATGTCTAAATAAGCCTTTCTTTTAATTAACGCGATTCTATGCCATTATTTTCCTATTTGCATTAACGGCTAACCCAAGTCGGTTGTTCCTCGAGATCTTTATCCTTATCCTGCTCCTTTTCATTCTTATCCCGCGCTGCTAATTATGAATGCCGTTCATTACTTATTATGGTTTTTTGTTTTTCAAAGCAATTAGTCGGTGTGAGAAAAAGTGTACGACGAGTGGGGTAAGAATGGATTGTGCGCGCAATGTGGCGAGCCACTTCATGCAACATAAAGGATTTTTAATTATGGTTTATATTTAGATCTAATTTTCTACGTGACGGCTATATTACAAATAATAAATTAGAGGGAAATTTGCGAATAATTAAATTTAAAAAAGAAACAGCTTCTTTATAATGACTAATTATATTTTTAAACATTCCTAAATAATATCTTATCCTCTCATTATTTGTACCAATAATCACCATATTCTCAATCGTTATCTCGTTTACGTTTTCACGCTACGATCTAATCAAATTCTTTTTGTAGAAAAAAAAATCGCACCGACTTCTCGTTATGCATATTGAGCCCAAAAACTCGTCCCCAATATCAATTAGATGATGATAATAGCATCCGAGGTCTCACCCTCGCCGTCGCCGATATAAATTCAACCTTAGTATGCAGCAGGAACAACAGATCCTCGGGGGATTTCTTATCACGCCCCGGCAGACACATGACACGTACGCTGTCATATTTAACTCGGATAAGCTATTGTAATACCGGTATTTTTTCAGGGATGTTTTCATTATAGTGGAGTTTTAGTTGGCTATTAATTTTTTACGTTAATTAAAATGGTTATTAAGATGAATTTTGTTTATTTTGCCACCTTAATAATTACCCAACTATTTAAAATGTTATTAGCAGGACTAATTAATAGATATCTACATATCAAGAAATAGAATTTAAAAAGTGTGTTATTAGTAGATGGCGATATTCGTTACTCAACAGTGTTATAAAAACGATTTCAAAAAGTAATAAAAGCACAAAGTAATGAAAAGAAAATATTCAATTATATTTTATTGTCCTGAATCGGAGTGAGTGCTGGTTAAACAAACAGAACATTAAATTGGGAATATTTGCTGGTTTAATGGCCCCATAATAAAATTAATGAATCGGATTTACGACTTCCCCACAGGCTATTTTTGAAGAATCTGATTTAATAGTTCAAATGGCAAAAGATTAATTTCTCCAAAAGAAATGTCGCTACAAAAACATCAACTTTCAAAGGAACTACATATTTTTAATTACTTATAGGTATACCTATTGTACCTACTAAAAGCCATACATGTGTGTAAAATTTCCATATTACGAATAGATAACGGACGGACGAACTAATTCCCTATTTCATTTGCAGCGTGTTACGCAAGATATTTACTCATTAATAAGAACCCCATACCAACCTGAAATATTTTGACGCATTATGATTTTCAAGAAAGACGTTCGGTAGAACGTTATTTTGTGATTGTGCGAAATGCGTGGCCAATCCAGAAAGGGAAAGCGTTTTCCGGCAGGATAATTGTTTTGTGCGCATAACAAAGGAAGCACTTCGTTTCCAGCACACACCCCCGACATTCCACCCTCGAGCCTCATTCATCTCTATATCGTCCATAAGACGCAAAACCAGTTATAGAGAGCAGATGCTAGTACCTAAATAAATAATTGACGAATTTGTGTTGATTACCCTTACGTTATCGCACCTGGTCCAGGATATAATCCTTCATCCGATTATCCTGATATAGAAATAATCACGATATAAATGAACTAGTAAATAATGTATATTGTGATTTATATATTCTATATATTTCTTACGAAGACGATATAATGGATACGCAATGATCTAATGTATAGATGATGCTACTCTATAGAATAGATTAATATGCAAAACTAGTCTGGTCTGGTGTTGGTGTTATAAATAAAATAAACGCGGTTTGTGTTATCGGTAGATTGGCAACATACTCGAAACGCTTCGATTTAAATGGATATTATCAAAGACAATAGGCGACAGTTGCTTCCACAATACCGAATAACAATCAATTTACATTGGTAATAGGTGTATCGTTTACCGAATGTTAATCTATAGTTGTTGTAGCTCGACTGTATCAATAGGTGGACTGTGTCGGACCAATAGATACAATGGCGGACAATAAGGCCACACATGCAATTGTTAGCATTGTTAACAGCGCCATCTATCTATAACAATGCTGGGAAATGACAAGCTCATGCAGGAAATGGCAGTAATCCAATATCGAATACATGTAGTGTACACTATGGCGAAACTCGTTAGAATTACACGGTAATTCTTGAGGGTGAATCTCAGCGAATATTTCGGTTGTGTTCGAAATCATTGAGCTTAGAGGACGGTTCTAATTTTGCCTTCTTCCATTCAATCGGCGCCTTAATATATCCTCGAAATAAATGAAAAAGAATAATGAAAAATAAAAGTGGGCACAGCATTGTTGTTTTTTTGATGTTTTATCTTTTCGCACAATACCGTTCATTCAACTCCACCCTCACATACAAGGGTTAAGTCTTCGATTAAACTGTAGAAGGCGTCAAATATCGGGGAGAGACGCCCTTACGGTCTTTTGTCATGGAAAAGGAGGGTTTACATAAGCTCAAATTTCTATTCAGATGTTATTTTGCATGAGCCGTGTTTGTTGTTTCTTCGGGGAACCCCTCGTACAGGAAATCAGTTTCTGCGTTTGTAATTTAAAATCATCACGAAATTTGTTTTCATACAGCATTAACCAATAAATTCTCGACACTTCAGTTTCGTATTCCACTTACTTTGCAAATGTGTTTTATTTAGTTTAAAGGCATCGACGTGAAAACTAACGAATAAGGCCATTAAACGATCCCGATGTAAAGTTTCATTGTAACAAAAGACAAGAACTTTCCACAAAAACCGCCTGTCTTTAAACGTCCCCCATTATCATTAATTTCATGAAGATATTAATCAGTTATTCAAGTTCGTCGAGCGACAAAAGGACAAAATGTCATAAATAATGCGAATAAAAGGCAATATAAGAGAGAACAGAGCGCATTACGAGCGAAAAGTTTTAGATGATGCGGGAAAGAACACAAAGGGTCCTAAAAAGGAACATGTTCTTGTGTCGTGCCAACAAATATCATTTATAACACGAATTGGAACCGAAATGGCAAACAAGAATATCAATAATAATTCTTTAAAAGAAAGTTATCCTACACTAAAAAAAATGTTCGTTTAACTAAAAAAATCTCCAAATTATTTTTCTCTGCTAAAGTTATACTCGTACTAGAGTTTTTAAATTTTGGAATTAAGGAAGTACCTTTAGTACCAAATGGTACCAATTTATTTCTAATGATGCTATTACAATAAATATTACTATAAGGTGAGTTGCAGTAGATATTATTAATGCCATATTTCTCATATTTTCTTATTCAAATATACATTTTTCTGCGTATAGCATAGTTCCACAATGGAAAGCTTCATATTAGACAACAAGTTTTGATTAATGGTAGAATATAACCTAACAACAAATGGCTAATGTTTCCGGTAAGTCAGGAAGTTTTCTAAATGGCCGCTGAAGCGACTGCAGTGCCACCCTTTTCCGGTGGCTATTAGCGTGTATTATAAAAGGGCGGATCGGCCGGCAGTTTATTTGATACGGTTAGATATTTTCAGCTTTCAGAAGACCATGGATATTAATAACGCGTATGATTCACTTTGATGTCGTCCCGTTTTCCTAATCAGTCTTACTCCATTTAATTCTTTTACTAAGTAGATAATTTTATGAATAGTTTTATGTCGTATACCATACATTATAAGGACCTTTAAATGGTTAGTTCAGAAAGCATTGCACAGAACATTAAAATGAATCTCTTCCAATACACGTATGCGATAGATGTACGTGCAAAATCAAATGAAGAGCGTCAAATCGAAACCCCATCCCCTCCCGTCACTTTTTTTCCTATTTTTAGACTGTTATCGGCGGCATGTTCTCGCTATATTCTTTTTAAAATCTGTCAAATGCACGGTACAAACCCATTGTCGAAGTGTCTCGACGTCGACGCCATTATGAACGTCAGAATGGTTTTCATTATGTAAGTTGGCGTTGAAGGAGGTTCAGAAATAATGCAGATATTGGTAATGGATTTTCCGAGCTTTCTACTTTTCGTCGACTTTTTTTTGCGAATGCAATAGCGAACTAAGGAGGCGCGCTTCCCGTTGTAAGGCGGGAGATAGCGATTCCGACGAGAAAAATGACTCAGAAGACGACCGATTACTGTCGTCCCGATTTTATTTTCCTCATTATCGATTCCGATTTTTTTTATTGTTTTTGTCATCCCGTAAACCTGAAATCTACACCAACATATTTAAAATTTTAATAAATCGTTTGCTAACAGAAAAATTATTAAATATACGCAAAATAAATCTTTAATTTATCTAGAATTTACTACACATACAAAGCGTTCGTTAGATTAAGAAGTTAACTTTAACACATCTATTAATAAAAGCATTTCTTTAAATTTACCCATTTTAATATTGGATTGATTCAAATCATATTTAACCACTGTTTAATGGTTTCGACGATTTGCCTCCTGGTGGATATGATGTAATTATTATCTGCCACATCGGCGGTTCTCAAATCAACATGGTGCGGGGCGTCAATTATATTATACGCTGAAATCGTCGAAGAAATGTTGCTAGAAATGCTGCAGCAAGAGTACGGGTCCATGTTGCCGTTAGTGAATAAAATATTAGAGTAATACTTTAGACTTTTCGCGTCGAACGCCTTCAGGGGCGATAAGGGAAAGAAATTCTTGACTCCGTACTTCTTCATGCACTCCATAGAGAATTGGTCGTAGTCCCAAGGTTTGGTGATGAACATGTCGATTTCTGTAGAGCATTTGGGCATGACTAAATCGGTGCACTGTTGATAACCGAAGGCGACTTCGTTGAAATCTTCAACCGAACTATTGACGTTATTACACACCGATTTTCCCGAGTAGTTGGTGTAAATCTCCAACGCTTGACTGAATTGTTCGATCAGGCCTTTGGTGTCGTTGAAGAAGGATGAAGTCAATTTGTCGCAGAAAACCTTGACCGGGTACGCGGGTAGGGGAGTGTACAAATCGGTTGGGTAGTGGTAGTTAGATAACGCTAATTTTACGTAAACGCTCGTTAACCATTCCAGCAATTTTTCTACATCCTCAGTGGACCTAATTCTTCTACATAATTTCCAGGTTGAAGATATAAAATCCATTCCTACAAAAATAACTTCCTTATTGAGTACTTTTGTTTAGGTACACAAAACCAATTACCTACCTAATTTCGTTTTAGTTAAATTAATAATAACATCCCAACCAAGTTTAATAGTCTTAACGCATTGTTCCCTACCAAATTTTTCGAATACGTTCGTCACAATTTCGTAGAAAACCTCGCAATTCGCTATGCCCGGCAAGTACAACAAAGGCGCTGAAGATGATATAGCTCCAATGATGGAAAAGGGATATTTCATTCGTAACCAAGCCGACAACATTCCACCGTACGAAGCGCCGAATGCGATAATAGGATAACTTTCAGCTGTGGTCACGCTTTCGAAAAACTCTTTCTTCAATCCGTCAATGATCATCGCAAAGTCCTCTAAAGCTTGAGCTGTTGTTAAATATCTGCAAAATACAATCAAAAATGTGCCATAAGAAATGCAATCTTCGTATACTCACTTCATGTTTTCGGCACTAGCAAAAGTTCTATTACCGAACGGTAGAGATTGCCCGTAATACCGGTGCTCGATGAAGGCCAGAAGGGCGTTGAAAGTAGGAGCTATGTCGAATAAAAACCCAGTATTTTCGGCGTACATGGTGATGTCGCCTTCGTGGCCCAAGTAGACGAAAATCGGGCCATCTTTGACGTGGTATTTCGCGCTCACGAGATATCTAATTTTGAAGGTGACCAGTTGATCTGAGAAGCTCAAATGATCTATCGGCACTTCGGCGTATCTGGTTTCAAAGCTGTGCTTTTGCTCGAAGAGTTGAGCTTCTTTTAGCAGGATAAACAACACTAACGCTAGTACCACGAACTTATGGAACTTGAAGAAACAATTAAACAATCTCATCATTGAGAAATCGATTGATAACTGAAGAACGACCACTGAATAATTTAAAAAATAGTCGATGTCTTCTCTTTATATACGACTTCAAATCAATGTAGGTATTTGCGCAATGAGCGACATGTTGGTACTTGGCATTTTTTGAAGTAATTATTACTGATAATGCAATTTTTATTTAATTGTTATTGATTATAGGAGAAATGTTTTGAAAAAATAGCACTATACCTACAGGGTATCCCAATATTCCATGGACATGGAACTACCACGTATTTTTGGATTAAAAACAAGTCGATTGAACCCAATTTACCTCTATACAAAATTGCTTCGTTTGCCCGGTAGAGGACTACAAAGTTGAAAAAAATAAACACACTAAGATATTTTAAGAACATTCCGATTTCAATGAGATTTGGAGTGCACACATTTTGCTAGTACCTACCTTCAACATTTGACTTTCATTAAAAACTCGAAAGTGTATGAGAAGGGTGGAGTATACCCCCACACCTACATAAATTCTAGTAGAAATTTTTTATAAGCTTTACGACGAACCTGAATTTCACTTGTACAAAACCTCGCATCGTTTCTAAAAATAACAGTTTTTCCGAAGCTGACTATTTAGAAATATTGGGACACCCTGTAAACTAACAATAAGAGACAATTGTGCATAAGCCTCTCCTTGATATAACTATCCTAAAAGCGAAAGAAAATTATTTTGATTTTATATTAGTGTTGGATATACATCTATCAGTATAATATTGACTTAATATTTTGTTATTAATATATGTTTCTCGCAGGTATAAAAAAACTATTTTTTCTCTTTCCACTTGATATTTACTAGGTAATTCATAAGAAATTAGAATATAGGCATTCATTAAAGACTCAGGAATTGGTAATTATTAAGAACGATAACGAAGAGTAACACAGCAACAGCAGATAACAATAAAAATTTACAAATTATTACGTTATCGAATCTAACTGTTAACTAAATAACAAATTTTATTGCAGTGATTATAGCCGGAAATGCTAATAAATGTAAACAGTTTGGCATTCACTGATGTCACTATAATTACTTGTTTTATCTAAAATATTTATTATAATCTCAATAGGTTTTTTAGTTATTCTTTGGGATCTCTTATAATGAATCATTTAAATTTTTTAAAACCCTCAAATATAACCAAAAAATAAATATAAGATTAATAATATACGCATTTTTAAAAATAAACCACAAATACTTTTATTGTATCGACTGCATAATCGTCAAATTATAAGTGAGATGTTTATTAGTATTCAGGCACCCCTAAGTTGAATGATAAACCGCATTCGAGCACACCCACTGTCCTAATTGTATACCCCCTGCGGTCACCAAAAACTCCCTCTTGATCCCGAAGTTTACACCCTCTGTCATCGTCACTGGATGTAATTAAACTGACAAAATAGGAAATAAAACATGTCTTAAATATAACATGTGTTAGTAATGGCGATACATCTAAATTATATCAAACATACAGAAAATTTACTTACCGCAGTAAGTTGACGTGGGTATTCTATAGGATTCGTTTGCAATTTACATATTATTTATACATTGATGTAACGATATTTATGAACGAAAACTCGCAAGAGAGGTCCCTATTTGTGGAAATTCAAGTTCCTGTACCTCTCTTACTAGGCTATATGAAGCTAACCGTTTGTATGATACAGTGATCTGGTAGCATATGTCGTATCGTGGGAGTGCGTTACAAAGGAGAACATAACTGCAATTACCCATAGTGGTTGTTATAAAAAAGAATATATTTTTGCTTATACTGCTGGGATGTTACCAATGAACTGGTTTATTCGTTTCTGATAAACAAACTTCTATTCTATATTTAAAACTTGATTCAATTAATAGAAAATTACCATTAGATGTCAAAATAAGAAACAATATTTTAACAATTTTTCTTCATCATTCGAAATTTTGCCGGATGCGCCGATTTATTGACTACCTAATGCAAGTTCGCGCATCAAATGTATTTTACCGAAGTCCTTCGAGTTTTTTTCACAATAAATTTTATTAACAACACATTTCATTGTTAATTTAAAATGATGATAGATATAAAATAGTAATAAAAGTGCGTAAATTAACAAGCTGGGGTTTATTAGAAATGAGTTAGTATCGATCGCATGAACTTTGTAAACCGGGGGTTTAGAGGGTAGCTAGGACGACCGTGTGGCCTAATGGATAAGGCGTCGGACTTCGAATCCGAAGATTGCAGGTTCGAGTCCTGTCACGGTCGAAATTTTTTGATTTTTTTGCAATTTCTCTCATTACAAATTGGATGGTTTTTTGATACCTTGATGTATATAAACGCGTAAATTATTACGTTGTCTTCGATTGACTTTATAATTAGTACCTAAGTAAAATAATATATTTTTTTAAAATGAGTTGAATGAAAAATTTAAAATTTTCAAAAATATTGGATCAGATCTAAAGTAAAAATATTTTTGTATAGGTACCTACATAATTTGTATTAAAGTACCTACCAAATTCTTATTGAAATTATTTTTTTTAAATTTGGCGGAGGAACTCGGTTAGAGGCTAAATTTAATTGAATTTACATATTTATAAAGAGAATCTCAATATGTAAAACTATTATTTTATTATTTTATTTATTACATTTATTTATACGCTGTACTTTCTTTGTTACTTTATAATTTTTTTCCTTTATGAATGAATCTTTCTTCATATCCTGTGCAACTGTTATAATAATTCCTGTCCCTGAAAGAGTGTATTTTATTTTACTTTAAGCCTTTAAAAAGTAGAAGATACTGGTATTAAAGAGAAACAAATTTCATATCTCAAAATAGTATAGATATATTACAGGAAATAGCGCTCTGATATTTTCACAAACAAAACTCCATTCTCCGTCGCTGTGATTATTGAATTATCAAAACTGACCGCATTCGAAGCTTGTTTGCTTAAACCTCAAAATTGTGAATAATATTATTAGGGCGTTTCGGTTGAACGGTGGTAAAGCAAATAAAACGACCGCCTGTCATTATTATAACTCGATTTTATCGAACATGATTATACGTTTGTTGTTGTTTTGTGTCTCGGAGAAATCAATTTATTTTGATTTTGTTTGTTAAGAAAATATTTTTTTTCAAATATAATTGATAGTCACTTCGTTGACGTGCCTTGGTGGACTCGAATACTAAATTAAATGTTATCTGCTGGTAGGAAGTAAATTAATTTATGTTAGTTGCATGATTGTTATCAAAGGGTGATAATTTGGCAATTTTTTATTGATGGATCAAACATTAATTATCTGTAAAAGTATTAATTAGATAGTATCTAGTTGATTCGGATAAACGGGTATTACGTTGAGGCGATTTCGAGTCCAAAAACTCAATTATCCTTCCCCGATTTTCTTTGTTTGACGTCGAACATGTGTTGTTTTCTGGGACAATCGAACGAAGCGGTGGGACCGGTGGATTTCCCACAGCGAAACCTCCGTCCACTCAAAGATTCAAGTACCTTGTTTAGAAAGTCCGAGACTTAACAATCGCCGAAAAGTACTTCAAGTTCAGCTTTCTTTGTCAGCCCTCCACTCGCGCTCAATGCACTCGTGTAATCTTAAATAGCTTTATAATAAATCTAATTCAATTTCGCCGCGAATTCGACCCTTGATGCGGCTTCAGAGGTATTCGGGCCGGACAGGAGGGCCGAATCATTAGCAGTTATTAACCGGTAGAAAACTTATATGTGAACTTACTCTCCTACTGCATGCTGTGTGTATTGGTGTAAAGAAACAAGAGATAAACAAAGCTATAAATATAAAAGAATGAGTTCTTATAAACATGTCTATAGTAGATATTAAAAAATGTATACCTAGTATACCAAATTTATCAGGTTGGATTACGCCTCCATTTCATTTCCAAAAATAAATTTCTCTTTCAATTTTACCTACCAATCTAAACCAGTAAAACTCTAAAAAACTAACAATGCCGCTGATTGCCAAGTGTTTACCGCTCTTTGGAAAAATAAAAGCGGCCCAAAGGTAAACATTCGCGAACAAAAGCAAAAAAATGATCAGGACTAAAGGCTTAGATGCGTATCTACCCATCGGGTGTATTGAAAAAATATTGGCGCCTCCATTATGTTCTCGACATCGGCATCGGGGTCCCATTGAAATCCTTCTAATTTATTAAAAAAGAACGCGTTACGATGCCGATAAAAATAATTAATCATTAACCCTTAACAGAATGCTCGAAGATTTTCTCTCACATCGCTACAATACGCCTCTAATGATTCGTACAGGCCACAATGATATTAGAGAATGTGAACTAACGATCCGTTTCATCGCGCTTATGGTAAAACCCACAGAGGCGGAGGTTTTTTGTGTATTTGGCTATCCTACATGAACTCGCATTATCTGTTTTTGAAATATGTATGGTGTTTGTAGTGGTTAAACAATTGGAGAAAGTTCTTAATAAGATATCATAATTGCTACAGGGAAATAAGTATACTCTCTTTAAAAATTTAAACGTTTGGAATAGCTGTTATTTATTTAACATTAGATAATAGCTAAACCAGCAAAGTATACATACCTATGAAAAATATCATTTCATTTCTTCTCAAATATATTATACCTATATCCTAGAATCATTTTATTATCTCAGTACAGATTAGTATTTGATTTCAAATACTTTATCCTTTAGAGAAATCTTTTCATTGTAATTTTTGATTCATTATAATTTTCATAAATAACGAAGTAAAATTTGACAGTGTTACATCAGAAATTCTAGATTCTAAGAGAATGGTGGAATAAATCCTATAGATAATAATAATAATAATTTTGTGAGAAAATATTTTTTTCACATACCTACTCGCATACATGGGTTCAAACTGATTTGAAAAATTAAAGTATAAAGTAAATAATAGAAAAAAGGATAATAATGGTTTACCTATAGATAGAAATTTGCTGAAGTCCGGATGTAATGCAGGTATTACCTGTTTCTGAAAGAATTGCACAATTAGTAGATGAGAAGGGTTGACTTTTTTAAAAAATTTACTATTATACCTACGAAAATATAACAAAAAGGTTATGTGAAGGTACAATCCCTGCTCAATAATCATCATCATCTAGAAACATAGGTATTGTTAAAACTGGTTGGGTAGATATATTTTTTTCTTTTATAATAATTTTTAAACTTTATTTATATGCGTACTATAATAGACTATAATAATATTCATCCAATAGATGTAGATGCAAAAATGTTTCATTTTATGTTGTTAAACAATATTTAATTTAGTCTCTATACCACCTATCCTGTACCTACGTATAATACACATCTTAAATATCAACAGAGATTCTTTTACAAACTTTATAACTCAGTTTCTTTACAAAAATCAATGCGAAGTTATGCACTGATACTCTTTACTTCGCCATCAGAGAGGGGCGACTAAATACCAAAACATTTATACAGGGAATAAGCACTGCAGTTCATGCCAGAACATTTTAGCCAAAATTTCAATGTGCCATATATCATGGCAGACAAATTTTCCACGGTGCACATTGTAGAGTTATACAAGGTGATGCGAGCCATAGGGGACGGTTGGCTGATCATAGACAAGGGTCAACGTGCGACCCTCGACATGTCACAGTAACGGCTACAATAGCCTTTTGTTTTGCACAGGTCGGGTTTATTGTAAACAGTCGTGCAAATACAATGGTTGTACAGTTACATATACGAAACAGAATTAATAAACTCTTTCGCTAAACTAAAGTATATTTAGGTGTACGCCAGTAAATGTATAGGATTCAATAATGGGTCCAAAGGGAAAACTTATGAGAAGACATAGGTCAGTACAATGTTTAGAATAATATTAATTAGACAATATATACATACAGATTGCTCCATTGTTCATTGCAACATATAGGGTGTGGGTGCAACAAAGACAAGTTCAATTATAAAGGACACTTATAAAGGAAAAAGAAAGGGTGATATTATGTCATTGCAATTTTTCTCTATGAAAACTGTTATTTTAACAATCTTTCTTTGCTCAACTCATAGAAATGTCCATGTTGCAATCGCAAATGAAGCACGGTGTACATCTTGTATAAGGTACATATGCTATTAATTGTACCACTATAAGTATTTTTGAGATTAAAAGTTTTAAAATAGAATTTGCGTGAATAGAATAGAATATAAATGGGTTTAGTATTTTCCAATTCCTAAATTCGCGTATTGTAAACGAAAAGAATGATTTTTCCACATTGAAAAATCTTTAATCCAACAAATGTAACCCATTTCCTCGGCACAAGGAACGTGGACTGGTGAAAATAAAATACACAAATGCCGCATTGTGCGGTTTGAATTTACAAAGCATTTGAAAAGATTTCAATATATCCACTGTGGGTGGCTGTATGTTGCAGATATTTGTGTACAAAATTCGATTGAAAGGCTGCCGATTCAGCATTATGATGAAAATTTACACTTGTGCACTCCAAGGCGAATACTCTCTGTTATATATGCATGTAGGTATATGTATATACAGAGAAAATGTTTTGTGTGACGGCGACAAGTTCTCTTTTCAGCTGAATTTAATTCGTTTTCAGCCGGTGGCTTTTCTAAAACATCGATTTATTCATATTGTAAGTGTACACCTCTTCCACTCAAAGCTAACAATGAATTTTCATCTTGGGATTTTCCTCCTCGCCATTCACTCCAACGACCTTTGCCATAATTTTTTTTCGCTACCCCAAATTTTAGTCTGGTCAAAATAGGTATTCACAAATTGTAATACCTATAGGTAGGTATGAGTTTGTTCATTTGAATATTGTTATTTACTAGCTGTTTAATTTTATATTTAGTTATAGTTACTGTGTAGATTAATAAATAGTGTGTCACGTCGATATAGAACTGTCTGGAGAAGTGCTGGTACATAATATTATAAAAGGAGGATGCTCAGCCTCATAATTGTATTCCCAGTGAAGCTTTATAATTAACTGATTTATTTTGGTTAGGCAGATTACCATAGGTAATAATTAAGTAATGTTTTTAAATGACCCGCAACAAAAGAAAATATTTCATATAAAACAAAATAAATAAACATCATATAAACTTTTAATTAAATTGTGTAATTTAGTAGGTAAATGAGATAAATATTGAATTAGGTAATAAGTATAAAGCTAGTCATAGCTATACTTAACCATTTAAATAATACTTATAGTAACAATTAAGTTTCATAAGAAGTTACAACATAGATAATTTCAATTAAAAGTTACCTATACCTAGGTAATTTCGCAAGTAAACGTACAAAAGTGCATCGGAATTATAATTCACATTGTGAGAAATTGTACGGCATATTGACATTAAAAAAATTTAATTGCTAATGCAAACCCGACGTTAATTCAACCGAAAATTTGCATGAAACTATTCGAGCCTCTTATTTCCACAGTGCATACACAAAACCTTCGCAAAACACGTAACAAAACACGAACAGGTATTCAGAAAGAATACATTATTGTATCTCCTACAATAAAAAGAGAAAAACGTCTTTGTGTGCGGTTGCATGTCGGAGAGTAGGGGAGAAAAAGTAACCAATGGTAAAAAATGGAGGCGGCGCCGGCGATTCTCTTAGCCCTACGCCCCGCCTCGACATATCACAAATACCTTACTGACGGGTCCGTACACCATCAGTCTCTTATATTCGTTAGTAGAGTGAACAGCGAAGTGTTTTCCGAGTGATGAGCAACATGTACGGGTTTCCAACGGCGGCGCAAATCAACGATGATTTCCAGCAGCATCAGAACCAGCCGAGCGCCGGTCCCGGCGACGGTCACATCAAACGACCGATGAACGCTTTCATGGTGTGGTCGCGAATTCAAAGGAGGAAAATAGCGCTAGACAATCCGAAAATGCACAATTCCGAAATATCCAAGCGGCTCGGCGCCGAATGGAAGCTGCTCTCCGAGGCGGACAAACGACCTTTCATCGACGAGGCGAAGAGATTGCGGGCGCTGCACATGAAGGAGCATCCCGATTACAAATACCGACCGAGGAGGAAGCCCAAAGGACCGCTGGTTAGTGGCATCAAACCGCACATGACGGGCTACTCCATGCCGCAGCTGCACTATCCGTTTCCGTCGATGGAGACCATCAACTCGCCGTATCCGTACTTCAATCCGGCTTTCGATATATCCAGGATACCGTCGATGAAGGCGGAAGAGCATCAGCATTTGACGCACCAACCCGCGGTGGTGACCTCCTTGCATTCATCGTTACACAATTCCTTGTATTCGTCGCTGTATCAACAGCCGAAGGGATTCGCGCCCGGTCCGCCGATGAGCATGTTCTCGTCGATTCCCGGTAATCCCATGATGTATTCGGCGTCTTCGAGTCCCGCTTCCAGTCCGGCCAGCTCGGATCTGGAGATCAGGAGGCCGCTGCCCGTGCCAGTGATGTATTAGTGATCGACTTTAGGATATTATGATGAGACGGTTATTATATTTTTTGTTGGAAATTTTGTTGATGATTTGATCTTGTTTAGTTGTTTATTTCGTTTACTGTGATTACATATTCCGACTGATTTTTGTACATATATTCAGTAGGTACTTTAATTGTAATTGTATATGTAAGTAAGGCGATTTTGATAGATATTCTAATTTATTCTACTTCATATGTGTATATAGGTATTACAGAAATAAAATGACCTACAATAGTTGAAATGTTATTTTTGATTAAATTCCATATACCCTAATATTTAATGGAACTTATAATTGAATTAATATTTAATTCAAGTAATCCGGCAACGGACGTGGTATAATATGAAAGAATTATATATAAAACATGAGCATTTATTTTACACATCCCAATAGAGAGCATCAGGAATTAGACAAGAGTTTATCCAAACATCTAATTTCACATACTTTTAATCAACAAAAAATATTAGGTAGGTACCTCTATCTTCAAAAATTTAAATGAATTTTCATCAAATTTACGGGTTTTAAAATAAATAAAAAAAAATGGAAAAAAGATATGAATATTCCATCAACAAACTTCTGGTTACAAGACTTATTGGCATCCCATCTGCAGTGTGACATAAAAGAAATGGAAATAATTGCAAAACGCAATTAAAAGTAAAATTCAATCTATTGAAACAAATACTTGAAAAGCACAAAAGGAAATTTCATTGAAACACAACCCATGCCTCGATTGAATCTTAAAAATACAACCATTGTGCGGACTCTTTTTAGGAATAAAAACAATGTCTTCAAAGAAGCTAAAGTTTCAAGCCAGAAAACTACAGACGTTTCTTTCTTCTTTCAATAAATTTGTTCCCCATTCGACACGAGTGCAATTGAAATATTAATTGAATGAAAATTGTGGCTTTCGACTTTTAGAGCTTTCTTTGTCTCTAACTAAATTAAGAACGCTAAAAGCTTAAAGGGTTGAAGTTGAAACGTTATTCAATAAACTAAAGCGCCTTGCTCAGGACCCGGTCCGTGCTTTTCCTTTTATTGCCACCGAAGAACACAATACTCTTGTTAAATTAATCCAGAAAGTTCAGTACTATAAAATATCTTCTTTAAATCCATCCATCAAATATTTTAAGAATTACACGTTTCCGAAATAATTAAATATAGTCAACTAAAGGTCCTACATTATTTTGGATTGAATAATTATGTTTTAATTAAGAGTACAAGAGTAAAGCAGTGTGTAAAAATAGAAAACGTATCATTTTAATTTTAAAAATTGGGCAAGAAAAATTAAAAAGGAAAAATGCAGTTTCATAAAGGAAATATTTACGATTGAAACGGCATTGATGTATAGGGATTATTGACCCTACGTGATCTTGCTGACAATAAAATTTAAGGGACTGTATTGACTTTTTGTATAAATTGAACATTTTCAAATAGAGGAAAGAGAATTAACTGCAATAAATATAAATTGCCCTTTTGTCGGCGTACGCCTCAAATTCACTGCATTGTCCAAACAGTGGCGTAGAAATTTATTTTATTAACAGTTTATAAAAACTGTATGAAATACAGCTAATATGTGGATAAAATTAATATCTGATGATTTACCGAAAAGCCAAACTGATGCCAAATCTGAAAAAAATAAAGATATATTATAAATTTTCAATTCGCTACATCAGCAAATCTTTACCTTCTGTCAAGAAAAAGGGAAAAAAATTAAAATTTTATTATCCACCATTTATATTAGGTATACAAAGAAACAATTTTTAGTAAACTTTTATGGCGAGGCAAAAACAGTAATAAAACTCGCTGTTAAAAAATTCCAAATATTTCCTGGGCCACACAACATCTGGTTAAGCTGAATTTTAACGCTTGTCCATCATACACGGTCATTTTTCAAACCGAAATCGACTCTAATCAACACCGTACTACCTGTAAATCGATTTTATACAGGAACAATCGACCGTTTTTTGGCAATAATTCGCTAACAAATGACCTCCTCATCGAGCTGAAAGAGCCCGCACAATGCGGCCTATACAGGACAGAGCCCTTCAATTCAGAGTTGTTGATAAAAAATAGGAAATGCTACCTCGATACATCGCAAAATCTTCATTATCCACATACACCTATACCTAAGTAGTTTTTATAATTGACCTAGCATGACTTGCGCACGTTTTATCTTTTATCGACGGGTCGATTAGAACTATTTATAATAAGTGTATACTTTGGTACTGTCGATTAAAAAGGGCGCCCTCATTATTTGTGGTGATAAATAATTTAATAAAATTATTTCATATTAATCTCTCGCTTAATAATATTTTAAGAATAACAGCTTGTAATATTTTCAATTTATAATACCCTCCTGTAAATTTTTCCAATGGATCATTTTTAAGTCACGTAGAAGATAACGTAGATTTCGGACAGCTTTTGTTGGTCCCTTTTCGTTCTAATAGATGCAATAAAATTTTATTGTGGGCACAACTGATTGCTGGGCCCCTGCACAGATTTCGCCAGAATTCTAAACAATAGCTCTAACAAGAACTAAAGAAAACGCAGTAATAGGTTTAAGCAGCTCCTTTTGTTCCCGAATAAATTTCTCTAACTGGTTTCCGAGACAACAGACAACTGCAAGATGCATTACTTTAGGTGTATAATAGATTTCTTGCGAAGTCCCGGCGGCGGGAGTATTGTAAAATTCCCAAATTACAACGGAGATAATATAAATACAAGTAAATACCTCTTTTATGTTGCTAGTGTCCCTAGGGAAATTTTGTGGTTGTTGATTTTGAACAATTTGGATATCTCATTAAAATTTTGGTAATAATTTTATGAAAATAAATTAAAAACAAAATATATATAATAAGATTTTTTAATTAAAAGAAAAAACAAGCAGATATATTATATTAAATTTAAATTCTTCTGTCCAATGGTAACCACAAAAACAGTGCGAATATAATTGTGGTTAAGGATATAGGAGGTATAATAAAAAAAGTTCAACACCTGATACCTAATAAATTCAGAGATACATTCTTGGAAATTTTGAAAAATACAAAAGGCATGAGGTATGTTTTTTTAATTAAAAAATTTTATATCGGCTCATGACATCACTAATACAAAGAATAGTCAATCGCTTTTTAGAATGAATAAAAACTATTTGAGCATTATGTAAAATGATCTATATCGAAGAAGCACAACAGCAATTTAATCAAAATTATTAAATGACGAAGAAATATACGTGTATACCAGTCGTTTCGACGTAAAGCGAGTATCCTATTGTATTAAATTAATCTTGTGAATAATATTAGCTGCATACGAGAATGCTTCATCCATTATTACAAGAGATGACAATATCCTATCTCCACCCTCAGACAATGTAAGCATTTTGTCAAACTTTTAATATAAAATACTTAGCTGCTGTGCTGTCAGCGCCGTCCATTATTCATTTTTATTGTGAAATGAAAAGGAAACAGTAATCTTTCAATCTGTTTTAGAAATTCCTGCTTAATTAATTGAGGAGATTGTAACCCTTCGCCTGTGCACTTATCAATCACATTATCGATTTATTATAACTAAAATATATTGCAAGTGTATGTACAAAACAATTACGTAGATAATTTAGATGAAGGGAAGAGGAATAAATTTTACAATACTTTCTTAACGTTTAACAATAACGTGTTGAGTTATATTGATTAATATTTTATTTTCACTCTATGGCTACAATTTAATTGTCTTTAAACAAAACGCGTTAAATCCGCTTTCAATTGTACGTGTTGTAAAATAATACAATAGATCGTTAATCGTTCTTCGTGGTCTATCAAAATTACGTGTGGTTTCGCAAACTGAAGAATTACAAATTGGCTTGTCGTCAAGAAAATTAACATGTTACACTAGTTAACGACGCGTATTTTCAGACAAACTGAGGCCATACAAGTCGCCATAAATTCTTTATGTTATGCGCGTTGCCGTACACTTGGCATGGTTACATCGAAACTCATTGCGGTTTAATAAAGATTACGACTTTAGACAACTAAGTTAGGGTGCGTCTCGGTCTCGTTATTGTTTCTTCGCATTTAAAACGTATGAAGACGGAAATAATAGGTTTTTCTACAGCGAACATTCGAAGAAACAAAAGGCGAATAATTAATTTTTTTGTGGTTGGTGTAGTAAAATTGGGGAAATGTAAAAGTTTTAAGGATAGTTGATAGTTCAAGACGTGTGAAAAGAATTGTTCACTTGAAGAAGATGATTCAAACATTTTCTAAAATATTAATCAAAATTTTTTGAAAAGCTTTTTATCATTATTTTATATATTTAACCTCAATGAATTATACGGAATATACCTATATATTTTATGTTATTATTGCTATTGGAATAACCATAAAAATTAGAATCGGTGAAAGCAAATTCTACAATACCATAAAACCCATCTATCCTAAAACTTTTCAACAGTTCGATTCTATCCGAACCCCGTAATTTCCATACTTTCCTCCACAATGCTGGTTTAGAGCCGTAACGAATGCTTGTTATTTACCTATCAAAATAAGATATTTTCAGAACAGTAAAATAGTTAACTTTCGCTGTGATTTTACAATAAGCCCATAAACCATTGTGCCATTTACAGCATCGGAACTGACTTTGAAGTTAATACATTTTAAAGATTTTACTGTTTTCCAGATAAATCCGAATTTTTGGTGCCGCTTTATACTTTCGAAATATGCTCATGCCTCAGACAGGTTTATTATTATATTGTGTTTTATGATTAGTTTATTTAAGTGCTCTCGTAAAGTTATAGGTACCTATTGAAACTAAATTATCTATTCTAGAAAAAGAAGATTTTATAATAACGCGTGTATACTTTTACCTCCACAGAACTAAAAAATATTCAACCATTACTATACAATTTCACTGACATCAGTATGACAATATTTTCCACTGAGCGATTCCAAAAGTGTATAGGTACAATTTTTTGAAGCATGTACACTTATGAAATAATGCAATATCGTTAACAGAAAACTCCATATCCAGATAGTGAACTTCCTATAATAGAAAAAAATATCCGTCATAAAGATATCCGCTTCATTAGGTATAACATTTTCTACATAACAATACCTTTCACCCCTAAAAATCTAACAATGATTGGTAAATCATATATTTACTCGAGCATTT